CCAAGTGGCACAGTGGTTAAAGCGCTCGGCTTCTAACCAAAAGGTAGGTGGTTCAAACCCATCAGTTGCGCCTAGGGAGAAAGACGTGACAGTCTGCTTCCGTAAAGATTTACAGCCTTGAAAACCCTATGAGGCAGTTCTACTCTGTCCTATAGGGTCACTGTGAGTCAGAATTGACTCAACAGCAGTGGTTTTGGTTTGGTTTTTACCATGGTATAGGAACAAAATGGAAATGCTGCTTTAAAATATGCACCAATTATTGTTATTATGACATCAATATTAGTTTCCTAAGGCTGCTGTAACAGATTACCACAGACTTGGGGGCTTAAAACAATAAGAATTTGTTCTCTCACCTTTCTGGAGGCTAGAAGTCTAAAATCAAAGTGTTGGCAGGGCTGTGCTTCCTCTGAAGACTCTAGGGAGGAATCCTTCCTTGCCCCTCATTTAGCTTCTGGTGGTTGCTGGTAATCCTTGGTGTTTCTTTTTTTTTTTTCATTTTTTATTGTTGTACTTTAGGTGAAGTTTTACAGAACAAACTAGCTTCTAATTAAATGATTAGTACACATATTGTTTTGTGACATTGGTTACCAACCCCATGACATGTCAACTCTCCCTTCTCGCCCTGGGGTTCCCAATTACCAGCTTTCCTGTCCCCTCCTGCCTTCTAGTCCTTGCCCCTGGGCTATTCCTTGGCATTTCTCGGCTTGTAGTGTATCATTCCAATCTCTGCTTCTGTCTTTACATGACCATCTTTTCTATGTTTTCGTGTCTCTGTGTCCAAATCTCCCTCTTCGTTCCCTTATAAAGACACTAGTCATTGGATTTCGGGCCCACTCAAGTACAGTAGAACCTCATTTTAGCTTGATTACATCTGCAAGACCTTGTTTCCAAATAAGGTCATATCCCAAGGCTTAGGACGTTTTTATTTGGGCAACACAATTCAGTCCATTACAAGATGAGAATTTAATTTGAAAGCTGTTTTAAAATTCATGGATGGGAAGTTTACGGTATTATTTCTAATAAAGTCATGTAGGACTGAATTGTCATATTTAGATAATAGAATTGTGTGCCAAGCATATACAGCAGTATGTTTATACTGTGGCAGATAATCAATGAAAGATATCAACCTGCTAAACTTATTAAATTTTAGGTGACAGTACTGGAAGAAACCAGGACGTGTGGAAACAGAATGTGAAGTAGCAAAATCTAGTGTGTTTTAAAAACAGTGTTTACTGAGCGCAGTGTGATTAATTACTCTTGTATGTGGCCTTTCTATCTATCAGCATGTAACTCCCACTCAGGTGATTGTGTGATAGGGTAATTGTGGCTTACCAAGGGGATTGGTCAGTTTTGCCTTAAAAGAGAGCCAATTCCAGAGCAGGAAGAAGGCGCCCGCCACCACCAAGGAAGAGACCAGCAACAGAACCTGTAGCAGGATACAGCGTGTTGGGCTTCCTGGCCCACAGAGAGAGAAAGCTGAGTGCCTTTGGGTAGAGACTGAGGGCCAGGGAGAGGCATGCCTGCAAGCACAGCTGGGGAGAGGCCGTCCCAATGAAAGAACTGTATCCTGAGTGTCCCAGAGCCTGACTTGTAACTGTTACTTCCCTTATAATAAATCCCATAATTGTGAATATGGTCTTTGAGTTCTCTGTGGGCATTGCAATGAGATATTGAACCCAGCAGAGAAGTGGAGAGTGCTGTGTGAGGGATGATTGGTGTCAGAATTGGTAAAGATGGTGGAGAGAGGAGGCTTGTTGGGCCTCTGCCTCGTGGGAGTCAGCCTTGCACTGTTGATCTTGGTTCTCCTTCCCCTTTGTGGGGTTGGAGGATGTCAGACACTGCCCCCAAGCTGTTTTTACACTGAGCATCTGCTAGGAAATGTACTATGTACGTTGCATATATAGTCTCTGTTAATCTTCATTGCAACTGAGACCAAAAAACCAGAACTCAGTTCCTTTGAGTTGATTCTGTTCATTATCCATCTTTTGCAGATGGGGAAGCTAAGGCTTAGAAAGGTAAAATTTTCAAGAGCACGTAAAAGAGCCAGAGTTTGAACACAGGTCTCCTGATTGTAAGCTCAGTTCTTTCAGTTATTATTTGTGCTGTTATTGTTGACTGAAGCAGTTTTATTATTTGTGTACACAGCTGAGAAATAGGTGAAATTAGGTGAGACAGAGAAATACATGAAATTTAAATAATCAACAGAGACATTTTTCATCTCTAAGATTCTTGCTCTTTGTAACCTTTTTTTTACTTAAAATGATTCAGAATTAATTTTACAAATAACTCTTTTGATGAAAAAACTAAGCCTCAAAAGTGAGATATGATTAAAGACTGCTTAATTAGTGGCAAAACAGGAGGTACAACCTAGAACTCTTGATATTTGAATCCAGTACTTTATCATTTAAAAACATTTTTTTAGTAGGCAATCTGTAAATGTAATTTTAAGCCAAATTTTGGTACAAATTGAATGTTCTTAGGATTCTTGTTTTTAGAAGCATCTAGTTTTAGAATAAGTACAATAGTCGTAGAACATATCTATTTATATGATTACTCCAAAATTTGAAAGATAGCATCCCCCCTTAATGTATCAGTTGCAAATGTTGTAGGGGAAAAACATCACAAAGTTGAGTAAAGTAAAAAGAAAGTTTCATTCTGCATATATTCAAAAAGGCAAAAGTGAGAAACGGACAACCATGCTGCCAGAGCCATGTCTGCCCGAGTCCAAAGAATATTACTGAATAGGCAAGAATGGGAAAATCGACAAGCAAATGGTCCAAAGACCATTACAGAATCATCAGTATATATTAACATTACGAATGGGCAAAACCATTGAAAGCTTAGCCTTTTCAGATTGGCTAGAAACTGTGATCCTACATTTTGAATTGTGTTTCTTAACAATCATTGGTACAGGTTTCAGTCAGGAGGGTCTTCATCGGTCCAACAAATTTCTATTCACTAAATGCTAATAGAAAAAGATAAGAGTAGAAAGTCTTTTGTGTACTGTTTAATTGGCTTTATGTGAAAGTTTCCCTAAAAGATGTTTTCCAAGATTATCTTAGCTATTGTGTTTATACCTCATGGCCCAGTTGATGTGTCCTTGTGAGTCCTTGTGAGCCCAGCTTCAGCTGGGTCACGTTCTCTGTGCTCAAGGAGAGGGAATAATAACTCCAGTATTTCCTAAATCACAAAATATGAATATATTGTACATAATATTTTGGAGAGTTAGCAAAACAGTGTTTCATAGTTTTTGTTCAAGGTAATAACTTATCAGATTTTTCTAGTCATTTGCTCAATCATTTTTACTTTTGAACTTTTCCATGAAAATATGTTTTAATTTTTTTTTTTTACTCCAGTGAATAATGTGCTGTCAGTTATTTCATTTCCATTTAATATAATCTTTTTTTTGGAATATATTTAATTTCCTTCATAAATAGGTGATACTATTGGAAAATGAAGAGTAGCTTATTAACTGATAAGTAAACCAGTTGAACTCTGACGGTTGAAAAGTTGCATGCCCTGGATTTACATTGTTACCCCCCACCCCCACCTTAAAAAAATACTCCTTTGTGGTGCCAATTTAGTGTGTCTTGGTATATCCATTGTACATTCAATCTGAAGAAATTCAAACTTGAATTCCTGTGGTCTGCCTCGTTAAATGGTTATGTCCTGGCTAATTTGCCTTTGTTTGTTTATTTGTTTTAATCACATTGTTTAATACTAGATTTACTTGGTTGCCAGTCCAGTGGGAGTCTTGGCTAAGCCTTCTTAAAAGTATCTGATTATGCTATACTATTCTGTCATCATAAGTGATATCATCCTCTATTTCATCTTATTTTACTAGTGCTTCTGGTGGCTTTTCAAAAGTTTTGCTTTTATTTTATTAGGTTTTTAAGGTATTAAAGAAAAAAAATGTTTTGAGGCATTTCGATTTGTGATGGACTGAGATTATATTTTTTCCTGCACGTATTTCTCTGTATTAAGAATTTTCAGACCACTTGCTTATATAATGAACAGAAGATTCCTTGTTGTCTTAGTTTCCAAGTACTATCATAACAAAAATGCCACAAATGGGAGGCTTTAAAGAACAGAAATTTATTGTCTCAGTTTTGGAGGCTAGAAGTCCAAATCAGGGCATTGACTCTAGGGGAGGGTGCTCAGTTCATGACTTGTCGTGGTGATTAATTGAGAGAGAGAATGTGTGTGTGTGTGTGTGTGTAGTGTAGTGTTATAAGAATTCCTGGCACTTAGAAAGTTCTTTGTAATTATCACCTAGTAATAGTGGTACAGTCTTTTTGCACAGAACTTGCTGAGAACAGTTTTTATATTTGACCTGTCTTTTTTGTAGAGTCAGACAGCTTGGGGTCAAAAAAGATTAGGATTTGCATGTGGGCTGTATCACTTACTAGTTCTGTGTTCCAGCGCAGATAATTAAGCCTTAGTTTCTGTCCTGCAAACCCTAACAGACTATTTCAAGAATCAAAATGAAATAGTATATATATAAAAGTGCTTTGTAAGTGTGAAGTACTAAATAGATATGAAGTACTGAAGTCATTAGCCTTTCGTTAGTAAATTTTTAAAATTGTGATCTCCTAGAGTGGAGATGGAGCCCTGGTAGCACAGTGGGTAAGAGCTTAACTGCTAACCAAAAGGTTGGCAGTTCAAATCCACCAGCTGCTCCTTGGAAACCCTATGGGACAGTTCTATTCTGTCCTACAAGGTTGCTATGAGTTGGAATTGACTCGACGGCGATGGGTTTGGTTTTTTGTTTGGGTAGAGTGAAGACCCATGCCTTATTTTTTGAGGACCTGAATCTGGGAGTACTTAAGATAAGCTAAACATTTTTGTCTGGGAATAATAAATGTTTAAATGGCTAAATTCTACTACCAGGAATATATGCTCATTTTCAAATTGTGTAAATTGGCTTCATGATAAAAATGTAGACCATGTTTTCAAAGGAAATGTTGTACTGTCTGACATTATTCTTATAATATTTTTAGGTTTGAAAATACAATGGCAGGAAACAGCCTAGTTCTACCCATTGTTCTTTGGGGTCGCAAAGCGCCAACACATTGTATTTCAGCACTGCTTTTAACAGATGATGGAGCCACCATCGTAACAGGATGCCACGATGGACAAATATGTCTCTGGGACCTTTCAGTTGAATTGGAAGTGAGTATTCCTCATGTATATTTTAAATATAAGAAACTATTTATTAGAAAACAGCACAGTCCAAGAATAATAATTGGGTTCAATATTACATGAGAAATATATTTTTATTAAAATTGGTGTTCATCAGAATTGACTACAAAAGAGAATTGACTTATGCTGGCTTTTGCTCTTTCCAAATATAACAGCTACCCTAAGTGACTTAAGATTTGTAACATTTAAGATATCTCAAGAGATTGATGTAACTTAACAATGTAAAGACAAACAACCCAATTAAAAAGTGGGCAAAGTACTTGAGTGAACATTTCTCCAAAGAAAATACACAGATGGCAATAAGCTCATGAAAAGATGCTCAAGGTTGTTAGTTATTGTTGTTGTTTCTAGTTGCCATATAGTCAGCCCCCAACTCATGGTGACCGCGCACACAACAGAACGAAATGCTACCCAGTCCTGTAACAGCCACATGATCGGTTGCGTATCGGACCATTGTGATCCATACAGTTTTCGTTGGCTGGTTGTTAAGCCATTCAGCATCATAGCAACTTGTAAGCCTCCACTGACAGATGGGTGGTGGCTACGCATGAGGTCCATTGGCTGGGAATGGAACCCAGATCTCCTTAGTGGAAGGAAAGAATTCTACCACTGAACCACAGATATCCTATTGTTATTCATTAGGGAAATGCAAATCAGTACTACAGTGAGATAGCATATCATACCAAGTAGATGGCTTTATCAGTAAAATAGAAAATAATATGTTGAGGAGGATGTGGAGAAATTAGAATCCTTGTGCATTGCTGGTGGGAATGTAAAATGGTGCAGCTGCTATGGAAAACAGTATGGCAATTCCTTAAAAAGTTAAGCATAGACCCAGCAATTCTACTCCTAGGTATATACCCAACAGACTGGAAAGCAGAGACTCAATCAGATACATATGTATACACCAATATTCACTGCAGCATTACTAACAGTAGCCAAAAAGTTGGAAACAACCTATGTCCTCAATAGATAAAGGGATAAATAAAATGTGGTATATATGTGCAGTGGAGAATTATTTAATCATGAAGAGAAGTGCTACATGCTGCAACATGGATGAACCTTGAAAACATTATGCTGAGGACGTGTTAAAGGACAAATATTGTATGATCCCACTTACGTGAAATATCTAGAATAGGCAATTGTGTAGAGATTGAAATTTATTCTGGTTACCCAGTTCTGGGAGGAGAAGGGAATAGGAGCTATTACTAAAAGGGTACGGGTGGTTTGTTTGTGGTGGTGTAAAACTTTTGGAAATGGATAATTAATTTCACTGAATTGTACACTTAAAAATGGATAAAATGGCAAACTTTTTTATTATATATATTTCACCACAATAAAATTTTTTAAAATTATGACTTAGACTGAAAGAGGTCTCCAAACAGATATTCAAAAACTGTTTTAAATATTTACACCTTCTAAGTTGAATGATTTGAAAGAGGACAAAACTTTCTATTAAGTGTAAGTTTTGTTTTATTTGTTTTTAAAATAACTTATGTGTTTACTGTCATTCCTTAGTACATCACCAGCCACTCCTTGGAAACACTATGGGGCAGTTCTACTCTGTCCTATAAGGTCGCTATGAGTTGGAATCAGCTTGATGGCAACAGGTCAGGGTCATGATGTATTGTCATTTACGGATTGCTGGATTCAATTTGTTAATATTTTATTAGTTTTTTTGGTCTTTTGTTCATAAGGTATATAGATCTGAAGTTTTCTTTTTTTGTAATGTGTTTGGTTTTGGTATCTGGGTAATGTTGGTTGCATGAAATGAATTGGAAAGTTTTCCCTTGTCCTCTATTTACTGAAAGAGTATGTGTTTGATTAGACTTATTTCTTCTTTAAATGTTTGCTGGAATCCACCAACAAAAACATTTGAGCCTAGAGTTTTCTTTGTAGGAAAGAAACTACATATTCAATTTATTTAAAATCTTATCGGGCTATTCAGATTTTCTGGTTTTTTTTTCTGCTGTTGGTTTTTGTAATCTGTCTTTCAGTGAATTTTTCCAAATCATCTAAGACAGGGGTTGGCTATTTTTGTATACCCTTGAGTTAGGAATGGTTTTTCCATTTTTGAAAGGTTGGAAACAAAACAAAAAAAACCCTAAAAGGTCTACTATGCAACAGAGACCATATGTGGGCCACAAAGTCCTTTCTAGAAAAGGATTACCAACCCCCTGATCTAGGCTGTCAAATTTATTGGCATAAAATTGTCATCAGATTCTGTTATTATTATTTTAATGTCTGTAGATTTATAGAGATTTCTCCTCTTCTTTCTGATGTTAGTAATTTGTGTTTTCTCTTTCTTTTGATCAATCTAGCTAGAGGTTTATCAATTTTATTGATCTTTTTAAAGAACCAGCTTTGGTTTCATTGACTTTTCCTATTGTGTGTCTGTTTACTATTTCATTGATTTAGGCACTTATTTCCTTTTTCTACTTATTTTGAGTTTAATTTGCTCTTCTTTACTTTTAGTTTCTTAAGGTAGAGGCTTAGATCACTGATTTTAAGTCTTTCTTTTTTAATATAAACATTTAAAACTGTAAATTTCTAAATTTTTGGTATATTGTATTTTCATTTTCACTCAGTTAAAAAATATTTTCTAGAAGTCCTTTATGATTTCTTTGAAGAAATTTAGAAGTATGTTGTTTAGTTTTCAAATATATTTGGGGATTTTCCAGATCTCTTTACTGTATTCTAAGTTAATTCCATTGTGGTCAGAGAAAATACTGTATATGATTTCAGTCCTTTTAGGTGTATTGAGATTTGTTTTATGCCTGAGCATATGGCCTATCTTGGTCTAAGGTCCATGTGCACTTACAAAGAGTATGTATTCTGCTGTTGTTAGGTAGAGGGTTCTATTAGTGTCAATTAGGCCATGTTGGATTACAGTTGAGGCTCTATTTTTTTTTTTTTTCCTCAGTTTTTCCTCCCTCTATGCTTCATTTTGTAGTTCTGATGGTATAGCATTTAAGAGTTTAGGCTGCTGACCAAAAGGTTGGCAGTTCGAATACACCAGGCGCTCCTTGGAAACCCTATGAGGAAGTTCTACTCTGTCCTGTAGGGTTGCTATGAGTCGGAATTGACTCAACGGCAATGGGTTTGTTTCTTTTTTTGTTTTTATGCTTCATTTTGGATAGATTTTTTTTGTTGTCTTTAAGTTTGCTGAGGAAATTAAGGAACTGGCCAGGAGTTTCTTTCCAGTAGAAGACTACTGTGTCTCTGTATGGAGGTGGGATTGGATATATGAGAAAATTTGAATATATGAGAAAATTTTCTAGGTCCATTTCAGCCATGAACAATGATTGGGATCTTTCTCTTACTTATAGATATACAAATGATGGCCAAATTGCATTTGATTTGGAAAATTTTTTCAGTTATCATAGACCATAGTCAGAGAAAAATCTCAATATTCTTCCCGTGGAATATTTAATTTGGAACAATTTAGCTTTCCTAATAAATTAGGATAAATTGTAGAATGTACGCTATGAGGAGTACAAAGGAGCTTTAAAGATATTGGTCATATTCTATTTCTCATGCTGAGTTTTGTGTATGTAGTGACTTAATTTATTCTTTATATCTTATATATGTTATAAATATTATGTGTCAAATATTTAATTAAAAAATTAAAGAAATATATCTTAAAGTAACCTAAGTCTTGAAGTAACCTGAAGTAACAGCATGTCATTTGGTACAAAGTAGGTACATTTGAGGCCTAATTGCCCCAAATTTTTATAATAATGAGTATTAAGTCATCCTTTCTGTAAGGAACTTTGTCACTAAATCAGTGATACGTGAAGGTCATTCCTAGTTCTTGACAGGAGATAAAAGTACTTTCAGATCAATGAAGGTATTATTTAAAAAGTAAGTGGGGCTGTATTGCTGTATTTTATACACTAATTCAAATTTTTTACCTGGTTTCTCACTAGACTATGTCTTAGTGTTTAAGACTGCTTAGTTTGAATTCTGGCTTCATCACTTTCTGTACGATATTGCAAAACTAATGTCACCTCTTGGGGCTTCAATTTCTACTTTAGAAGTACTTGGCAGGGTGATTATGAGCCCTAAAATGAGTTGGAAATTCACTGTCTTGCTGCTCTTAGCTTTTGGCATTCTGAGCAATTTTTTTCACATCTGTGTATATTATATTGGAAATTTAACAGGATTCCTAGTTAAAATGTGTCTTAGTTATCTAGTGCTGCTATAACAGAAATACCACAAATGGATGGCTTTAACAAGGAAAAATTTATTCTCTTACAGTCTAGGAGGCTAGAAGTCCAAATTTAGGGTGCCAGCTCCAGGAGAAGGCTTTCTTTCTCTGTTAGCTCTGGGGGAAGGTTCTTGTCATCAGTCTTCCCCTGGTCTAGGAGCTTCTTAGCACAGGGACATTGGGTTGAAAGGACGTGCTCCCCTCCTGGTTCTTCATTCTTGGTGGTATGAGGTCTGACTCTGCTTGAGTGTCTCTTTTATATCACAAAAGAGATTGACTCAACATACAACCTAATCCTGTAGATTGAGTCCTGACTCATTAACATAACTGCCTCTAATACTGCCTCATTATTATCGTAGAGGTATGATTTACAACACACAGGAAAATCACATCAGATGACAAAATGGTGGACAGTCAGGCAGTACTGGGAATCATGGCCTAGCCAGGTTGACACATCTTTTTAGGGGACACAATTCAATCCATAACAAAAGGTTAAGGTTTTTTTTTTTTTTCATTTCATGCTTGCACAAACATTTTTGCATTCTAGGTTAATCCCCGAGCGCTATTGTTTGGTCATACAGCGTCAATCACTTGTTTGTCTAAAGCTTGTGCCTCCAGTGACAAACAGTATATTGTGAGTGCATCTGAAAGTGGGTAAGTATTTTCTTATTCTTTTTTTTTCTCAGAAGTTTTTATTGCAAACAGTATCAGTGCTATTTTTTTTCTCCCTTTTGGAGTATCTTTTAAATGAAAGCTCTCAGTTGCCTAGCTGAAATTTTATCAATATCAAATATCTAACTGAGATACTTGAAATATGGTTTTAAGGATATGAATTTTATCTTCTTTAATGATTTTTTTTACTTTTATTATAATTTATGAATATGCCATTGCCTTGCTTTTGAGAAAAACAGTACCATAAATGTCAAAGCATGGTCATTAATCCCCAGGGCAGTCCTTGGTTGGCAGACAACTCTCAGATTATTAAAAAACCTCAAGAAGCTAAACTAGCATAAACCTGGAAGATGAAGCCGTGTGAAAGTTCATGTAGTCATACTGATGTGTATTAATACACTCATATAACTATGTGAGTTCCTAAGTCTCAGAAGATAGTTTGTTTTGTTGGCTAGTAGTTGTGGAGCCCAGGAGCCCTGTTGGCACAATGGTTAAATGCTAAGCTGCTAACTGAAAGGTCAGTAGTTTGAACCCACCAGTGGCTCCGTGGGAGAAAATACCTGGCGATCTGTTCCTGTAAATGTTTCAACCTAGGAAGCCCTCTGGGGAAGTTCTGCTGTGTCCTGTAGGATTGCTGTGAGTTGGAATCAACTTGACAGCACATATCAACAACACTTGTAAGGCCCAGCCTGTGGGGAATTCTTAAAAACAGTTTTGGTGCTTAGAAAACGATATACATATTTATACAATATATTATTGAGGAGCATTGAGAAGCTTGAAGACAATTCTATCAGAAGTCCCCATCCTCCCCCACCCCTCATAAGATGGATTTGAAGAGAGCTTTGTATAACTTTTTGGAAAAATAAGAGGGAGCATCAGGTAAAAATATAGTACTTTCTTGTCAATTAAAGGATAGTTCATACTAGATGTGTATAAATAGATTGAGTGCTTTGTGAAAAATTGTTTCATACCATGTAAGATATGGAAAATAACATCTTAAAGAAAAACTTTAACAATATGAGGATTATTGCATTTTATTAATGTTGTTTTCTGTTAAATAAATCTTAAGTTTCCTTTTTCAAAAGACAAGGCATATCGACGTTTCTGATTTCCAATGTTGTATCCTTAGCTGGAGACATAAGTATGTTTGTTTTTTTGGTATGTACTTGATAAAGCTTCTGCAATAAATACACAATCAAAACTGAAATATTATATTTAATTTGCAAAAGTTTGGAATTCAGTTTACTTTAACTTTTGCTTTTTGCAGTGCTAAATTTCTACCTCATATGCCAATAACTTAAATGTAAATTAAATGCATTGTTAATATGTAAGGAGATACTACTTGTATATAGTCAAGTTATTTTGATTATATTATAAAGTTTTCACTACGGGGTTGAAACGTAAATACAAAGCTATATATGCTAGGCTTTGATAACCACTGGAAATCTCAGTTGTTTAAATTAAAAGTTTATTTCTTATTCTTGTCACTTACCCATCTTGGGTCACCTGGGAGCTCTACTCTGTTTTGTTGTTATCATTACTTTGAGGTTCAGGCTGGGTGAACAACCACTTATCTGGAGTACAGGCAGATGAGAAAGACAGTTCTGGAGGGCCTCACATCCCTCTGGCAGAACTACTCACAAAGCCCCAGCCAACCAAAAGGGAACGAGGAAGTGCAATCCTGCCATAGGCAGGTGGAGGGGGGTTTAAGATGGTGAGTGAAAGGACTAGAGTTTTTGACAAACAGCAAAAACGAGTACACACAACTTTTTGTGAAATATATTAGTTTTAATAGGAGATTAATGTGAAACCTCTGGGACAAAGTTGAACAGTGCTTTTAAAAATCAGATTTAAAGTGATTTATTTTGTTTTTTAGAGAGATGTGCCTCTGGGATGTGAGTGATGGCAGATGTATTGAATTTACAAAGTTAGCCTGCACACATACCGGCATACAGGTTAGTATCCGTTTTTGTAAATGTTCAAGTCAGCACAATTTATTATAATAATAAAATCTAAAAAAATTTTTTCTAAACATTGAATCTATATTTTTATATGAAAAATGACTGGGGAGGGATAATAGGAAAAGAAGACTAGAATTGGAGTAGTGAAAGTTCTTCATAAGGTTGGTACAGTGGGGAAGGTAGTTAAGAGAAGGAGGTTAATAGGGAAAGATGTAGGGTAAGCCAATTACCACCACTGCTCCTGCTGTTTCTGTCTATCCGGCTGTCTTAACTGTCTAGTGCTGCTACAACAGAAATACCACAAAGGGATGGCTTTAACAAATGGAAATTTATTTTCTCACAGTTTAGGAGGCTAGAAGTATGAATTCAGGGTGCCCGCTCTAGGGATAAGTTTTCTGTCTCTGTTGGCTCTGGAGGAAGGTTCTTGTCTCTTTTAGCTTCTGTTCCTGGATGATCTTCATGTGTCTTGGCATCTCTCTTTCCCCATCTCTGCCAGCTCACTTGCTTGTTTAATCTCTTTTATGTCTCAAAAGAGATTGGCTCAAGACACACCCTGCACTAATCCTGTCTCATTGACATGACAAAGACAACCCATTTCCAAATGGGATTATAACCACAGGCATAGAAGTTATAATTTACAAGAAATTTTGGGGAGACACAATTCAGTCCATAACATTCCACTCTTTGACCTCTCAAAATTTATGTCCTTCCCACATGGAAAATACATCATCCCAAAAGTATTAAATCAGTTAGTCCAAAATCTCATCTTCTGAAGCATTTAAATCAAATAGAGTGAGACTTTAGGTGTATTCTGTTCTGGGGCAAAATTCCTTTTCGTCTGTGAAATCTAGATTACAAGTTATCTGTTCCCAAAGCACAATGGTAGCACAAGGTAGACATTTACATTATAAATGGGAGAAATTGGAGGGAAAGAAGGGATAATGGGATCCAAGAAAGTCCAAAGCCCAGCAGAACAATTTACATTAGCTCTCAAGGCTTGAAAATAATTTTCTGTTCTCTGAGACCATCTGGGCAATGGCTCTGCCCTCCGTATTCTGGGTGTTGGCCATGCCCTCTAGATTCTGAGTGGAGGCCCCTCGGCTCTGGGCTTCAGCTGTGCCTTCCAGGTCTGCTGGAACTGCAAGTCTGCTCTCTTGGCTTTGGGCGGCCCCATTCTCCTAGTCCATCTGAGTGGCAACCCCACTCCCTTGGCCCCAGCAGGCCTCATTCTTCTGCCCTTTGGGCATGAAAAGCCTGCCCCCTCAGCTCTGTGTGGTGGCCCCGTCCCCCAGGCACACCTTAATGGCAGCCCCACACTCTGGAATGGAGTTGGCAAAGATCCGAAGATCCGACTATTTGAAACCTAGGAGGCTATGGCCCCACTCTTTGAGATCCAGGAGGCTGTGCCCCTGCCCACTCCCCTTTGAAACCTTGAAGGTCCTGCTTCCCATGCTTCTCCCAACAGTTCTGCTGATCTCCAAGCTGTTCCAGGGATGGACCTTTTCTTGGCAGACAACAGTGTAGCTCCTTTGGCCTGTTTCCTGCTTGTGGAATTCCAAGAGGCAGACAGCAGTTTCTTTTCATTCTTTCTCTGTCCCCTTCAGTCTAAGCTGATGGGTTTTCTGCTGTGGTAGTTGGTTAGATCCATTAGTCACAGGCTTAATTTCCTTAACAAAAGATTGTGTAACCAAGTCCTTGGTGAACACTCTAAGATACGTGTCCTTAGTTTGTACAACAGAATTTTCCAAATCTTTAAGTTCTGTTTTCATTTCTTAGTTTATTTTTAAGTCCATCTCTTTCCTCTCACATTTTACTATAAGGACAAGGAGAAACCACACAGCCTTTTTAAGATCTTGCTTTGAAATCTCCCAGCTAGATATCCAAGTTCATCACTTATAAGTTCTACCTTCCAGCAAACATTTGAACATAATTCAGACAAGTTCTTTGCCACTGCATTGCCCTTCCTCCATTGTCCAATTACATGTTCATCGTTTTCTTTCAAAGCCTCACCATAAGCACATTTAATGTTCACATTTCTAGCAACATTCTGTTGCTGGCACCATTTGTATTCTCTAAGACAATAGAGACTTTCTCTATAGGTCTCCTCAATTCCTTCTGAGCCCTCACCAGAATTGCCTTTGACGTCCATAATTCTACCAACAGTCTTTTCAAGTCAGTCTAGGCTTTTACTATTAGGCATCTTAAAACTCTTCCAGCGTCTACCCATTACCCAATTCCAAAACTGCTTTCACATTTTAGGTATCTGTGAGAGCAGCACCCCACTCTTCCAGTACCGAATTCTGTCTCAGTTATCTAGTGCTGCTATAACAAATACCATGGATGAGTTTAACAAACAGAAATCTATTTTCTCACAGTTTAAGAGGCTAGAAGTCCAAATTCAAGGTGCTGACTCTAGAGGAAGTGTTTCTCTTTCTGTCGGCTCTGGAGGAAGGTCCTTGTCTCTTCCGTTTCTGGTTCCTGTTCCTTGGAGATCTCCATGTGTCTTGGCATATCTCTTCCCCCATCTCTGCTCTGCTTGCTTATTTAATCTCTTTTAAATCTCAAAGCCATTGACTCAAGATACACCCTACATTAATGGTGCCACATTAACATAACAGACAACCCACTCTCAAATGGGATTATAACCACAGACATAGAGGTTATGATTTATAACACATATTTTCTGGGGATACAGTTCAACTCATAACACTGTTCATGCAGGTGAGAGCCCCTTTGCTACTTGGTAAGTACTCTAGATCCTAAATAATGGAATTCTCTCTTACTAATGCCTTTATGATTCTACTGATGATTAACACAAACTGACTGGTTTTGGGATACATATCCTTTACATTACTTGTGCTGTTAGTCTTTGGGTAATTTGTTTTTTCTTAAGACTTTCCAACTCTTAAGAAGAAATGACCATTTCATATTATATGTAGAATATTACACAGGAATTCGTGGTTTCTGAGTTACATTCCTTGTATTCTTTCATTCTCTTTTATAATTTTCCAATTCTCTGTGCTTCAATTTACTGACTGCTTACTGTGCTAAATCTTGGGAAAATTACAAAATATATAGAAAATACGATTTCTGTTCTTAATGGGAAAGGATAGGGAAGAGAACTCACGTTTATTAAGTACACAATATATAGACTTGTAAAAAAAGTTATTTTGTTGGTGTTGAGAAGATACACAGCAAAACATAAACCAATTCAACAATTTCTACATATACAATTCAGTGACATTGATTACATTCTTCCAGTTATGCAACCATTCTCACTCTCCTTTTCTGAGTTGTTCCTCCCCTATTAACAAACTCACTGCCCTCTAAGTTTCCTGTCCAGTCTATCAAGTTGCTGTTTTCAGTTTGATCCCATATATGTAGATCTTGAAATAGCACAATGCTCAAGGCAGATATTCTTTACTAGTTAAGCTAAACTGTTGTTTGGTTTTAAGAAGACTTCACAGGATATTTTTGATTTAAGGTTTAAAGATTATCTTAGGGCAGTAGTTTCAGAGGTTCACATATAGGCATTTCTTGTATGGTATTTTATTTATCATATCACATCCCTACAAATTAAGTAGGAGTACATAATTTTACATACAAGGAAGAGGAGATCCAGAGCAATTAAGTGACTTGCCCAAATCTTATGATGAGTCATTTCTGGCTCCAAGATCCCAAATCAGGTTTGTCCAACTCTAGGGACTGTGTTCTTTCTGTTACATCATAGTGTCTCCCTTAAAACAAACAAAATCATTTGTTGAGAAAGGAAACTATAATAACACAAATGAAAAAAGCAAAGGAAGATGTTTAGGGGGAGGTTGTGGTTAGTGAGTTGGGTCTCTCGTGACTGTATTTCTTGCCCTGGCAAAGGTTTTCAACACAACACAACACAAACAAAAATACAAAAAACTGACTCATGGCGACCCTGTGTGTGTCAGAGTAGAACTGTGCTGCAGAGGGTTTTCAATGGTGGTTCTTTCACAAGTAGATCAGCAGGCCTTTCTTCTGATGTGCCTCTGTGTGGACTTGAACCACCAACCTTTCAGTTAGCAGATGAGTGCTTAACTGTTTGTGCCACCCAGGGACTATTAAAAATTGCTTCTTCAGTGCCATTAGGGTGTGCACCTTTGATTTAAAGGGCATGTATTGCTTATTTTTATCATGTGAAGAATTGTTAAGGTTTGTAGTGAGAAAAAGGGTGTTAAAATGATGTAGATTTTGTTGATTTTGTAGACAGTTTTTTCTAATTTAAAACTATAAATGTCTTGAATTCATCGGCTGTAAATATTTTGGTTGTGTTTTATGATTTAAAAAATCTTGGTTTGCATTATAGGAAAGTTATTATTTTTTATTTACCATGTCTTTAGTGCTTACAATTTATCAGGCCCTGCATTATGTCGTCTGTGTTGTTTAGAATGGTAGCCACCTCTAAGTAGAAGATGCTTTTTGGCAGATTCGCTAGTGGGGTGGCAGTTCTTTCCTCTGTGAACCTCAACTTCTTAGGTCCAGAAACAGGTTGTTTTTATATATGCAGAGATGATAAAAGTTTTAATGACACTGGGACTTATTGAAACCATAAGGAAATGCCAATTTATTAAATTATCATGTGGGACATCCTCTTTTAATGTATGAAAAACTTGCTTTCCCATTTAGGACGCTTTCTTCGCCACTATCCAAGCATCTTGGAAGCTAAAGTAGTGTTCAGAAAGTTGTTTGGGAGTATAACATTAGAACGAAAGGTGGGAGGCATTTAGTAAGGCAGATCTAATAAAATGTTCCTGCCCACAGGTGAGATCTCTTCTCTAGTGACTGCAGTGTACGTGTCTCTCCTGGCTGGTGTTGGAGGAAAAGTGACAAAGTTTGTTCCTCTGCAACCATCCTTTCCTCCTTGATATGGGTCAAGGCTCCCTGTAGTTACAGTATTATATATGAGTGACTGACAGTCCCTGGGACCTTCCTTTGTGTGTTGTGTTTTGTGAATCAACCTTCTGAGATCTAGAGGTGTTCCTTTGTGGTAGTCTGTGTTTTATTAGATCATCTCTTGGAGTTCTAGTGGTGCTTCCTTGTTCTTTTCAGAAGAAAGGCCTGGTGATCTACTTCTGAAAAATCAGCTGCTAAAAACCCTATGGGGCACAGTTCTCCTCTGACACACATGGTGTCGCCATGAGTCAGAATTGACTTGATGGCAAACAGTTTCGCTTTATTTTTCTTTCTAATACCTTGTTCTTAGTTAATGTGCTTCAGGATTAATGCTTACATTTAAGAAGTTTTATTGCTTCTTTTACCATATACTCCATAACTGACAAAAATTGTATTCCTTCACACACAGTGTTGAGCTCTGAGAACAGGAATAATGGGTATGGGAACAGACTGGACCCAGGGTTTCTTAGTTATTTTCCCAGTTACAGAAAAATTATAGCATTACCTTTTGTGATTTCACTAGCTTGCCCACAAGTGATTCATGTAGGGTCCAATCCCTTGAGAAGTAGTAGTCTGGATGTTAGATGTCTTCGCCTTCTAAAAATCCCTTAGGCGAATTAGTTACTGGGAGAGTCACTGTTTTTTGGAGGCTTTGATAAGGTTGTTGGTCTTGTTTTGATAATTACTCTTCCTCTGCTCTTTGGTTGATGGAAGCTCATCTTTTCCTCTTGAGCAGTTCTTGCATGAGTAACTTGTAGATCTTGATTGTATTGGCTCTTCTTTTATTTTTCTTCCACACAAAGTGTAAATGCATACAACCAGCATGGTTTATACAGTTGTGTCATACTCTACTCTGGCACAACACTTAGTTTAATCAGGATATGCTTCTGATTATAATATATTTGAACATAGTTATCCTTTACTACTAAATTTTATTTAGTCCTAAACTAGTAATTATAAGCTTATGCTCATCTATTCCCATTCATCTAAAATTCTTATTTTTGTGACCCACTGAAGTACCCCTTTTCCCTGATTTTGAAACTGATTTTTTCCAGGTGTTTTATTAATTCATCTTACAGTGCTGTTTTAGATGCTGCTAGAGGGGGATAAAAGTAAAAATTAATCATGAATTTGGCCCTAAAATAGTTCCAAAGGGAGGATAAGATGTTAGGAAAAGAATATTTTTTGTTAGATATTTTGAAATGTTACAGAATTAACTTGATATTTCTATATGTGTATACACACACGCATATAAATACAACATGTACCAAATGCCTAGAAATATTACTGAAGAAGTTGAGCATTTAGGAAACTATGATAATAAGTTTGAGGAATGCATATAAATCAAGTATCTAAACTAAAGGAGAACATTTAAAAATCTTTTTCCTTTTGACATGAATTTAGTTTTACCAGTTCTCTGTTGGAAATCAACGAGAAGGGAGGCTCTTATGCCATGGACATTACCCTGAAATCCTCGTTGTGGATGCCACCAGCCTTGAGGTGTTATACTCCTTAGTATCAAAGATATCTCCAGACTGGATTAGCTCCATGACTATTATTCGATCTCACCGAACACAAGGTTAGTGGATTATGCTTTTTTAGAAACTTTAGCACCATGTCTTAATGTTTAATTTATTGTAAAGTCCTATAGTTTATCATAAATTAATATTTTTGGTTATATTGTTCTATTTAAGAAATAGTTATTCCAATAATTTATGGTTTTTCTCCTCCTTCATGAAGCAGTCTTTGATTGAATTAAGACTTAGAGTATTAGATGATCTACATTTCATGGGATAAATCACTAGCTTTTGGCAGTTTTAGAGCATGTGGGTGATTTTCTGAAGTGGAGGAAGAATTATCTTATCCCCTTGGAGATATGGTGGAACTGTAGTTTCACCTGTGTATTTCTGGACCCTGGTTTTGTCACTTGCTAGGAGGGTAGGAAGTGTTTCCATTTCATATAGAGATAATGAAAAGGGAGGAGATTATACAGTTAAATTATTTTTTTTTAATTGTACTTCAGGCGAAGGCTTACAGAACAAATAGTTACTCATGAAACAGTAGTACACATATTGTTTTATGACATTGGTTAACAACCCCACAACATGTCAACCCTCTAACTTCTCAACCTTTTTTTTTGGTGAAAA